AACCCCACATCAGTAGCAGCCTAAAGACTTGATAGTGTATTTGATAGATGGCCTAGACAATAGGAAGTTAACAAAAAAATTATCAAAATCCATTGAGTAGAAGATGAGATATGAGCATTTTATTGTTGGCAACTCAACGGTACAATACGAGCGCAATTCATCTAAATGCAATTATACTTTTCGGAGTATCATTAACATGAATACGTACTGAAAGTGCGAAAAAGAGACTTATTGGACTTTGTCACCGTCATTAAAATTTTCTTGATCAACAACATGATGTTGACAAGTAATGATAGAGGTGGATAGGCCAACATCGGTTTTTCATAATATTCGCGAACCATTCTGTATCGCTGTCGACTCCAATAAAATTTGTTATCTTCTTTTACTTCATCAATCTCGTGACTATATAGAATATGAAATGAATCGTTTGACAAGGGACAGCAAATAATAGTCATTTTTGATTACTCACCCAAAAATAGAAATCAGTAAATTTAAAATAAGAATATTGATAAAGATCATATGAAAAGCCAGAAGTATGTGATGGACAGTAGCTTCTGATACTTCATCTGTGGTGCTCGTATCCGAGTGAATGATATCTATTTGTAAAATAAAAAACAAGAATAAATACTATATATCTCAAATTCATTTTGTTTTTGATCGAGAAGTGATCAACTTACCATTCAGACTTTGTATTTTGCCATTATCAACTGAATACATCAACCAATATGGTTCAAAAAAGACAGATGCAGTAATATTTTGAGCCGTAAAAATCACACTATTGTATGATGTGAGTGCGGCTGAAACGACCCCATATGCAGACACACAGACAAATATGATGTATAGAAAGGCCATTAGAACAATACCCTAAGTGTTTCGAACGATATTATGATGTCATTACAATCTATCGAACAATGATTCCTTACCATTCTTTGAATCATGTACAGTTTCGGTCCGAAAAATTCGAATGCAGTCAAAAAGCGCAACGATATAAGATAGTACCATTCGAGGACAACAGCTAACACGATTCTATACAAGTAGTACACCATAAAAAATGAATAAAACTGATAAATTAAATAACTGTGCATACCTGGCTTCGCTGAGTGAGTGAGGTTGATTAGGTGCAGAAAACATTAGGCCAATGCCGATGTAAAAAAGTATATAAGATGTGGCATTTGTTAGAAATTTCCAAATCAATATCGAAATCATTTCCCAAACATCTCTGTGTTGCCAACGTTCTAACATTTGATATATGTACTCCACCAAGATCTATATTTTCACCGTAGAATATGTTGAGTATCACAATCGCTTGGAGATGTGATCGACTTACCTCACGAATATCCTCAATGAGCATTGCTGAAACAGTTATAATGACGTAAATATGAGTCCAATGATTTGTATCGTCCGGCGATTTCATATGAAAAAGCATCATATAACTGAAGATGAGCAGGAAAAATATGTAGAATAACTAAAAAGATCAATAAATTTGATAGAACTGAGCAAGAATCGATATAGAATACAATTTACCAAGTGATAGAACATTTTAACTACTGGACTACAGTGGAATTTTATTAAGTCCAAATAGTATTTCTTTATTTTGTCTCTAATTGTAGGCGTATTGGATGGATCTAGACTTCGTCGTTTGCTAAAATAACGAGGTAGTGATATATTCAAGGACAAGACTAGTGAAAATTTAACTAATATTCTAAAGATTATTGCACAGTAGCTACTTGCAAATGCTATATATAATCCAATACGAAAAACGGGCAGAGGTATTTGCTGTCAGATTTCGATTCATACAAGTGACTTTGATCTGAAAAAAATATGTCAGTCGATTATTCATCCTGACGACTATCTCATATGTAAACTTGTGAAATTAAAATCGTATTTCGAAATTTTGGTTATCTTAACTTTTTTTTCAATGAAAATGTCATAGTCAAAATATCGAAATACGTCTCAGTTTTCGTAAGTACATCACTACTATAGTTGTGTCTGCTTCTGAGTGTCTCGATGTTTTGAACTTTTAAACTGAAGTTTATATCCGAGATAACCATTAGGATGGGCAATCCATTAAAATAATTTTCAAGTCAAAGTCACTTATATGCCATAGCAGTCATGTCTCGAGAAGCTTCTGCATTGATCATTTTGTCATAACTATCAGTATTTCTGGCATAATGTACGAAAAATTACTCTGATACGATTTGATTTTGTTGTTCAATGATTCCTTGTGAGATTTTACTTCTACCAGACTATGTTTAAATGGCAGCTCAAAATTTGACCTTAAGAAACCGTGCTTATTAAATACTATTTACAAGCACAAATTATTTTATAAAAAAATATTCTCTGAGAAAGTTTTATTTAGCTCTTTCTCGAAACAATATTACGAAAATAAGCCACTAATTTCTCTTCTTCTTAGATTAGATCTGAAGGCAAGAATATACTGTTTCATGGTTAAGTTTTTCAATGGTTTCCAAAAATTTACGCTGTGCTAACTGGATCGTTGAGAGACACCGTTGCAAAGAAGTCGTCAGTGTTGGATTAACGTGTAATAATTTACCGCAACTTTAGAAACGATGAATTACGGTATTGCTTAGTTATCTATACATAGTTCTTTCTTGTTTTTCTAAAATGTCTCAGTCAATAAACAACTTAGAACATAGACAAATGTGGAAATATAACTTATTATGCAGAATAGCACCTTTAGATTCGCAATTGCATAAGAAGACAGCTCCTCTCTCATACAATTCAATAGTCGACTATTCTATTCGGAAGTTTCAATTGAATTCTGAAAATTTGTCACGTTGGTATGAAAGAGTGAAACAACGAATGTTTTTTTTGTGGCAGTACCGTTAGTTCATGTGAACTCTATTAAATTAAATGATTCGCCGTCTGAATTTTGTCTTCTGAGCAATCGCTCAGAATACTGTCGCTCTTGACGATAAAGCAAAAAAATGACGATTTCATTTTCTTATTGATAAGAAAATTAATCAACAGAATTATGAGTTACATGAATTTCGGCCCGTGACATCATTGACCCCTAAAATAAAAGACTTAATTTTTTTAAATTAGTTGCTGAACATCGTAATGCCTAGCAGGATGCCATAGTGCCCAGCGATATGACTTAGTGCTGAGCTAGACATCATAATGGGTGTGGATATCAATTAAAAGAAAACTCAGACACCCCTACACACCACACCCGCACCCCACTTCCAGATCAATTATTACGTCTTGCTCAGCACTAAGTCATATCGCTGGGCGCTGTGGCGTTCTGTTCAGCATAACGATGCCCAGCAACTAATTAAAAAAAAATAAGTTTTTTGTTTTAGGAACGAATGAGGTTACGGACCGAAAGTCCTAGAGAAATTTCGGGGATCGAAACTCTGGTCTTCCAGAATTATATGCGCATTCTTCGATAACTAATTCATATGGACAACTGTAATTCATAGGAATATCTTCTTTTTACGAAATGAAAAACTATCAGGGATAACGAAGATCTGATGCTGAATGTGTAAGAATAGTACATGGATGTTGAGAAGACTCACATACTCACGTTCAAATAGTTCTCGCTTGTAAAAGTCAATATCATAAAAGTCTCCACAATCGAATACACTACGAATATCACACTATTATCGAAGACTATGTCTCATGACATCAGATAAACTCCTAATGTCATGAGCTGAGATCATCATGTTTCAGTCGCTTGCCGATGTGCTCGAACAAGTAATCTGAAAAGTGCTTCCGATAGTACGTAGTGTGTTTGAGAATTGAACAATATTGTGCAGTACAACTTTATAATGATAGGTGCTATCGAATATATGCTTCTCATAGAGGAAATCGATCACAGGATATCTTTGGGCACTAGCGAAGTTCGGATCATAGCAAAATCTAGATTGCTGTTGTCTATGACACATCAAGTTATGAATAAGAGTGAACTTTTTTGCCACAGCATGTACGAAAACCTAGTAAATCTGGATCAACATTTTTTCTAAATACAGTTTTTAAAAACACTCCCACGCTAGTAACACCAGATCTAATGGATATGATCAAAATGAATAATAATTTTATGTCAATAAGAAAGTTAACCTAACTGCGTGTGTTTTTAATGAATGTCCAAGGCAAGGAAATTCTTGAGATATTTTATAAGATTTGATGAAACCAAATTACATATAAGTGCAAGCGTACGAATTGTATTACAGTCAATCTTAGAAAAGATTCAGCTCGAATGATAAAATTGATAATTTTTTCATTCATCCATATTCTATAACTAGGTCGATTTGCATGTCTACAATTGAATTACATATCATATTTCCTTTTAAATGATCGCATCATTAAAATGGGAAAAAAAAACAGAAGAAGAATTCATCCATTGACGAAAAGGTCACTATATATTAATCAAGGTTTCAGATAAGATTGAATACAATGGAATTTAACTACATTATGACTTTCATATATTTTTATCGATTGCTCTTTCATGCTTTTCAAAAACTTAGACTCGATTTAGTGAAAATAAGCCCTAGAAGTCACTAATTAGGATGAATTTAAGTTGTTCATCTACGTAGAGAAATAGTCCTTTTGCTGTTCTCAGCTCTAAACCCTTCAACAGCTAGTTCATGTATGACAGTCTCAAATTGCGTGATCTTACATACTGTTCTAGAAACTGTATAGCAAACCTACTTTGGTGTATCGTTGCGTTCGATGTCACCATTGGATGCTTCGTGAATAGTAAAGTGTCGCACTGGTTTTTGTTGTTTGTTCGAAGTTTCCGAGGAGTCGATAGGAAAGAAGAAAGGTGCAGTTAAACCAAGTAGAAAAATACTGATTCCAAACTGACATTTGTTCCATAGCGATTGAATCATGAAGGGAGGAGGATAAACAAACCAATTTTCGCTTAGAGTTTTATCTACGCAATCAGTGATAATAAATTTTCGAATGTCTGATGCAATTGCTATCTACAATCAAATATCTTCCGTGTATAATGAATAGATAATGAAAATCTATTCAAGTTAACTTACTTGCATATATGTTGCCTTGCCATAAATTTCTTTTTCAGATAGAAGGATACGAGATGTGCGTTCTTCGCTTTGTGCATGACAAGCATTGATGCATTCTTTAGCATAATCTTCATACTTCTCAGCGTGATCGCTAAACTCATTGCGTTGATTCATTTCTTTTGTTAACAATGATTTGCGTCTTGCCAACGCAACAGCTAAAAGTGCTGCACCTGTACGTGCCTTAATATGAAGTAAAAGAACGAAAGCAGTGCCGATACGTCCAGTATAAACGCTCCATAAGAAGAGATCTCGAAGCATTTCTTGTTTATTGTATTTATTCTCTGCAAATGGATAATACTTTTCATCAACTCGATTACAAAACAATTGGCAAAGATCATTTTGAATTCGTTCAAATATGTTGTTGGCAAAATAAAAGGATTGAATATATGGACCGAAATATTTCTTTTGATGTTGATGAAGCGCTTGGCGTAAACCTATCTAGAAAAGTAATTGTTTATGTAGAAGATTCTTTTCTCTCAATAATTTGATCGTTGACTTAAGCCGATATCGTACTTTTTTAGCGTCCTGAAATTCGTACAAATCACAAAGTAATTCTAGAAATGCTTCTTTCGGTGGATAATTATTGTTACTCTGTTGTTTTAATGGATTATAATATCGACTTAGAATATAATCAACAAATGTCGCTCGATCTCCATCCGCTTTGAGTACTAGTGGAAACAAATGATGAAACCATTTTTGAGTGCACTATATTGTACACGAATTTTTTTCTATCGAATTAGGTTGCGTAGATATTTCTTACTTTAAAACAGTCTGAGATCACATGTTCTCGTCGATTATAGTTACAGGGAAGAACCTATAGAAATATCGAACTATTTGTCTATCTTTCAAATAGCATTTCACTTACGGTAGTTCCAAACAGTTCATGCAAGCCGTCCAAAGAATCCCAATCGACAGCTAGTTGTAGAAGACTTTCAACTTGATCTAAAAGGACGGGGGCGCATAAGACCGTAATTTGGCCCATTGGACTTTTCATACTATATCCAGCACAATCATATATAGGATGAAAGAGCTTCAACTGGCGAGTACTTTCCAATACATTTGACGA